TGGGACCTTTTTTTTTTTTTAACTTTAATTTTTTTTTACCCCCCCGAACAAATATCTAGACCCCCCCCCCCCCCCCCCCCCAGGTGTATGAGTCAGTCGAATTCTATTGTAGAAGTCTTCTCATGGTGCAAATACAAATACACCAAACGCAAGGATGGTCCTTCTTAATGATACGTATTTCACACAAAGGTATTTGCCCACACCGACAATTCAAAATTGTAATTACCCTGTAGGAATGTACCCAACCACTGTCACCTTAAATTCCTCGTCTAGTTTAGCAAAGTAACATACAACTGTTGACACGATTACCTGAAATAAGCCATGTATACGGGTTATAAAAGAGAGAGAAATAAATGCTTTTCAGCCAGTATCACATATCTAAAATAGTTCAATATCAGAAAAGAATTACCCATTCACAAACAAGGATCTGTAAACAATCGTTCCTAGAATTGGCAGAGATCTATAAATTTATGAAAATTAAAGGGTAGAAAAAATACAATACTCTTCCATTAGCTTGGATTACCCCATTGGTATTTGATACTAATATATATGAAGCCTTATTTTTTTCAAAATATTGTTGTTCTCTAAAAAAAATCATCAAGTTTAGGTATTAAGTTACAGAAAACAGAAAAGCACTTCAGCCAGAAATTTGGATTTAATATTTAGGCCAAAGGTGTAGGCTAGCGCTACTCAAACTGAATAAGATTTGGCACAAGTAATTGAAGTGAATATTAGTCTATGTTATAAGCCGTGTCTAAATGGTTATAAAACAAAGCCAGGCCAATTTATCATTGAATTGGCCAGCGATTTTCCTAGGTCAACAAATACAGCATTTTTGATCTTAATGTTAAGGTCAATTTGAGGTCTAAATCCCGTTTGTGAAACAGGAAACAGGACACTTATTTATTTGATCACTTACCACTATCAGCTCAATAGGCACCGGCATTTTCATTTTAGATTTGAACCTGGCATTGATGCATTCTTTGGTAAGTGCAAGAGCCAGAATACATATAACAGATGTCGTCAAAGCTGCAAGATTAGTCTGTGGAAGACTTTGGAAGAATTGGAAGTAAAACTGAAATTTGAAATTAAAATTTATCCAAATTCTAATAGTTTTAGATAAATTTATTCACCGTTTATTTTTAAACACTCTACATACATAATATTATATGCACGAAATGTCACACTACATGTCCCACACTACAAAACAATGGTTAAGATAAATATAGGTCAATGTTTCAGACAACAAAGCAAGTATCACCTTTTTTCGTTGACGGTTCTTTTTTAAGCAATTTAAATTACATTTACTTTACCTTGACGAGTTTAAACGGATTGGTGACTTCTGATGCCTTAATACTGAGTCCAAAGACATGTTTTATCTGCGAAGAGAACACGTGACATGCCGCCCCCGTGGTAAATCCACTGATTAGGGGGTCGGAGAGGTAGTTGGTGATAAAGCCAAGACGGAGAATTCCCTTCATCAACTGGAATTTTAAGAGATAATTAGGTTTTAATAATTCAATAAAAATAACAGATGTATTAGTTAAAGTTTAGTGAACTTTAGACCGTTAAGTTCTATCACTTTCCTTGCAGAAATAAAATATTTAATCAAAGGGAATATATAAAACTATAGGGTCCATGTGTTTATCTGTTTTCACTATAATAAAAGTAAATGTATCCATGATTCGACAATACATGAAGACAAAAATGTTCACATCCTGTCACATATCTATAAGTACGTAAAAGCATATAATGTATATCTCTTATGAAGTAGAAGGTCTGAAACAGACATTGGCAAGCATGGTGTACTATGCTAATCTGTTATCAGCGAGTCGAATTTGCTTGACTGCGGGAACATTTCGGTTGACAAACTTCCCATAAAGTAATATATTATAATGAATATGATAACTAATCGCTATACTCTCACCCATGGAGGATGAATGATAAGATAGAGCGAGATAAAGAATGGAGGATATATCACCTGCCAGAATCCAACCAACATGGCCAAAGCAGTTGCTACACCTATCTTGAAGTCCACGCACTCTTGGTTAGAGTTGGTATCGGCATCACATGTGATGTTTCCAGAAACTGGGGTGTCATTGGCAAAGCTTGAAACGTTTAAGATGTCAAGAGACGAAATAGGAGGTGTCCATGATACGGTTTGTCTGTCAACGACCGCTCCGGCCATGAGACAAACCACCGCCATTGTACCTAGCAATAAATAGAGTCAAAAGAGCTAAGTCCTTCAAACCGAATATATCAAATTGGTCAGAAATCTCATAGTCCTATATATTTGAAATTGGAAACTCGTGCTCGATTTTTTTTTTATTTTTTGTTGTCTGGTTATATTAAATATATATGTAATTGTATACCGTGTAGTTTTGTGCTAAATTAAAGACACATTTAGAGAGACTAAAACGTATGGTCAGTAAACTGATCGATGTACCTATCTTTGCCATATTACGCAATAGGTGGAGTATATTCCTCGCCTCATCTCATCCAACTCCTCCCCAAGAGATACTTACAAATAAAAATAAAACGGGGGTCGGGCGTGCTAAATGCATTGCACCGTCTCACATACCACAATGCTACAATCACCTATTGGATACTGACGATACACAATGTTTTACTCGCCCAAAATATACTCACATAACCCAGTATTATACTCACTCACAGAATACTCATACAACACATTACAGTGCATCAAACTCACCTAGAGAAGTGTGTTTGGACGTCCCAAAGAAGAAGTAAACTAGCGGGGGGAAGAAGGACACATAGAGACCGTGGATGGACGGTAGACCTGCTAACAAGGCGTATGCCATACCTGGAAACGACACGATGTCACCTTTATGACTACATGTTGGTACTGGTTCAATAAGATACCTTACGGTTAATTTATATGTGATTCTGTAATTATACACTATATCTTCCCTATATACTCTTCACAAATAAGGAGGCACATCAGTAAATCAGCTATCAATAATTTATATGACATGACTGAGGCGATTATGCATGTAAGGTTTGGCACCCTGATCTTCCCAACAAGTAAAAAAAAAAAATAAAAAGGAAGAAATACTTCAAAACAAATATAAGAATATGATATCTGGTGAGCTAGTATATCGACAAATGTTCAAAACTACAAAAGCCGTACCCAAGCATTGTCGGCTACATAATTTGTGTAAAAATGTTCTACAAAAAATGTACATTCAATCCGTAAAAACCAAGGACAGACTGAACCAGACTTATTCTATGGGCAAAGCCAACTTTCCATAAATTTTATGATTTCATCATCAACATTCCAATACTAACTCAGATATTTAGATGTATTTAGAACACACGCGTATTTTAATACCCTTTATGTCTTTTTTAAAATTATAATGTATTATTATAAATATTATTATTCACTTTTCAGTCGTAAAAAATCGAAATACTATCTGTAGTATATATTCTTCACACTCGTTCAAGATTTTATGTGTTGGTTTATTAATATGTTGGTTTTCCTGGGGGGGGGGGGGGCGTCCGAGCTTCAAGTCGTTTTGGCCTTAATGCATTTTTCATTCTATTGTAATCCAATTTTTTCTAATTCTTCGCAT